GATGAATAAGATAGCCCATGTTTTCTTGCAAAGGTATTTTCAAGTTTCAAATAAAAGAGATATGTTTCAAGGAGCATAGTAGAATTAGGTTAGCCACCATATATATATACACACACATGCACATCTTGATCTAAGAGTATGACATCTTTCTCCTCGGATCCTCATTTTGAGTTTACAATATATGCAATGCAAGTATGTTTTCACATTTATCCCTGCCTGAGCTCCACATAAGCTTTTAGAAGTAGGCAAGAAGAAGGCGAAATTATCATTACCTTGGTGAGGATCCAAAAATACTACATATACAGAGTGATTTGAGAATACTACAAAAGGAGAAGGTAAGCTATGTTTTGTTTTCAAAAATCTTAAATGTTCCTCCAATTGACTTGACTGAAGGAAGATGGTGATTTGTTTCAAGCTATTCCATTTTTCAACCTCTCAAAATTTTATGGTAGACACTTTGAATCCTACAGTACATACATGACTGGGAATGGTTTTATGTTGATGCCTTATCCCAAGGTTATGTCCTGAATAATCCATCCTTTTATCGAGGACGAGTAAAAGCCTAAGTGTGGGAGAGTTGTTGACGGTAGTTATCATACATATTTAACCATCAATTAAACATGTATAGAGGCATAAATGAATCACCAATGTAGACTTAGGGGTTTAAACTGATAAATTCCACGAGTTTTAGTGAATCTGTGTTTCCAGCAGGATTTAATCAGAAAACCGTCAAGGAGGACCTAATTGTCAAAGAAAAACACGGAATCCCGCCGTGGTATCTACGTGGGAAGACTCTAGAAGGATCCAGGAGCCACGTCACTGAAGCAGAGGACCAGAGGATGACATGTGGGGCCACTCGGCCCCACTGTCAGCCCGACCGACCCTGTGGGCCCACCTGACAGTCTTGTTACTATGTCGGTTTCCCACCGCCTCCTAGGATGCATCTCCGCCGTTGCTTAAGTCGGTTTGATCCAATGGCTCACATTGGACCCTCAGGGCTATATAATCCAGACCCTGCCTCTCCCCTAGGCATAAGCCTCATTTGATCCTAAGAGCTGAGAATCCAGAAACCCTAATTCATATGTCCACTAGGATCAAGGCTAGTAATCAAGAGAATATTAGTTCTCCATAGGATCTAGTCTTGTTTTAGAGATAGAGAGATAGAGTGTGAGAGAAGAGTTTTGGAGGAGTCTCAGCCTGTCGGTGCTCTCTCTACGGCTTGTACCATGGTGGAATCAAGTTCTTCTGGAGCTTGCTTCTGAGCTTTCTCTGGTAATCGACTTCTAATTCAAGTAAGCATTTTGTTCATAATATTCTTCAGGTTTGTGACTCTCTTTTTTAGTACTTTAATCCTTGTAGCTCCTGGGTTAAAGTAGTATTCATAGTGTAAGCATGGTGCTTAGACTCGGTTACTCGTAGATGTACCCTATTTTCTGGATCGATGGTAGCTCGCGAGGGTGACTCTTATAGCCTCGTTGAATCCTCTGTAGTCCACCTCTCGTTAGTAGGCCTAGCAGGACTTTGTTACTATAAGAAACATACTCTGCCTGTGTTTTCTCTAGTAATATCCCTAGAATTGAATAATAGAAGACAAAGCTTACTAAAGTTAGAACTAGAAGACCTTAGTAGTCTCCTCTACGCTCCTATTATCTAGCCTTGATTGTGAAGTTGGGTTAAGTTAGAATTGGTTATTCTCACCCCTGTTCCTTTGGGTTCGATATAAAACTGGGTTACTCTTGGTGAAGTGCTACAACGGTATAATATCTGTGCGCTTACGGATTACTCTATGTGCATTAATTTATACCAACATTCATATATCATGATTATGACAGGAAAACTATACTCCAGTTCATATGCACTACTATATAAATGATATGAGAGCATGAATATGGAAGAACTCTTCATAGTATTATTCATACAAAAGTTGCTCTTCTTGTAAGGAGACAAGCTCTCGAAGTAGCTTTGCTAGCTCCAAATACTACTAAGAACTAAAGCTAAAAGAGTACAAGAGTAGGGTAGTGAGGTGTAGCTCCAAATGATGTGTGTGTTGAGAATGAGCTCTAGCCCTGTTTATATAGTGGAGTGAGGACGGTTTGGCGCTGGTATTTTTGGAAACCACCAGGAACCACCGTAGCATGGTGGCATGCAACCGCTGAAGAAGAGTGGGGCCGAGAGGAGGCGGTAGGGGTGCAGCCGCACCCAGGGTGCGCCCGCACCCTGGTGGGCCTGCTTCGCAACTGCCTTCGCCAGGTGGCTTCCTGGATGGGCCTGGACCCCGTCCACGGTGGTATTCTGCCTAGGTAAGTTGTGTAGGTGGGCTTCTCTTCTTATTCTCCTTTGCGCATTCCTGTTTACGCCTTCTGTTTATGCCTTTTTTGCTTGGTTTTGTTTATTTTCCACTTGTATTCGAATATGATTCCTACAAAACATGTTTTCTCCAATACAAGTGGAACTAGGTCAATAGTACATGCATATGTGTCAAAAGTATGTTCATTTCTCCTGTTTTGGATAATAATTAGCAGTCGAATGTTGTCGTTAGTGACCGCCAACACACACTAGGTCCTAATGCATAAGCATGAATGACATCACGTAGTGGCACTTGATAACCGCTTTAACCATGATTTCCCCACTTCATAGTACGGCTATCTATGCTAAAGCCAATCACACCCTCTATGGTGTCTTGATTGGTGAAACAAAAATAGCCCTATCAAGTATATCTTTGCCTTGAGCCCAATTTTGTTTCTCTTTCTTCTTTTCCAAGTTGGAGCACTTGATCCATTTTTTGGCTACCTCCATCACCATGAGCGCCGTCATCTAGCTCCACCACCTGGAGTGTGCCAACCTATCTCATATCACTTAGAGCCAAAGGTTAGTACACTAAGGTTTCATCAATTATCCAAAACCAAACTAGGGCTTTCACACATGGAGGTCTATGTTCTGGAGATCAATAATGATATGATTAAGACGCCTGAATGGACGGACTCCTCCCACTGCTCACTCCTGCAACGCTCACACCCCTTCCCATTCTTATCCCTTCGCGTCCTACCCACACCCGACTATGCGGCCATCGCTGCTTCCTTGGCCGGTGACAGCTCCTCCCTCCACCCCCAGTGTCCTCGTTCTCCAACCCGGTGGCTCCTTCCCCCACCTAGGCATCTTCATTCCCCCACCCTAGTGTCCTCCTCCCCCACCCCGGGCAGCCTCCTCCCCCACCATGGCGTCCTCACCCACCGGTAGCGTCCAACGCCTGTGGATCCAGTGGCCCTCTCCCGCACCTAGTGTGATCCAAGCAAGCCACTGATCCTCCCCTACTCTGGCCAGCGGCGCCCTCCCTAGATCCGGCAGCGTCTCCTCTCCCTCGGCCGACGGAGGGCATGGCAGGCGTGCACCATCTAGTGAGCCTGCGCCACCGTAGTTGCCCACCAGGTATGTCAAGGTCACGCGACGATGTTGTGTTTCAAGTGTTTATGGATGCTTTTCAGACATGTTGCAAGCCCATGTTTTAAGTGTTTCAGCTGTTTTCAGATGTATGTTTCAATTATTATATGCGAATGTTGCAAAAATAGATTGGGATATTGCATATGTTGCTATGGTTGTACACGTGTGTTGCAAGCGTCTATCCCCAATGTTTGTTTTTTAGACATGTATGTTGCAAGTGTTTCAGACGTATGTCTCAAGTGTTTCATCTGTCTTCTTTTGTGTGTTGCAAGTGTTGTATATGGATGTTTCAAAAGTAGATCGGGATGTTGCACATGTTGCAATGGTGTTTCAACTGTATGTTCCAAATATTTCATCTACTGTAGATGTATATTGCAAAGGTTTCATCTTAATGTTGCAAAAGTGGATCGGGGTGTTGCATGGCCCGGGCGGTGAGTGTCGCTGTGTTGGGCGCGGGGTGGGCGCGGGTGCGTGGTTCCTTGCGACAAACGCGGGCGCTGTTGGAGATCTTGTCCATAACACGTCTCTAGAGTAGAACAGTTTTAGGGCCTGTTTGGCAGAGCTCCAGCTCTAAAAAACTACTCTAGATCACGGTGGAGAAGACTCACGACGGGAGAAAGAGAAGAAAAAATAGAACGAACTGGTCATTTTCCATTTAACAGTGGCAATAGTGGGTAATTTCCCCCAACTCCATGAAACTTGAATTTGGTAGAGCACCCCTAAGGTGCTCCACGAAATCTATGGATCGGGTGGCAGATCCACTGTTTTGTGGAGCAGATCTGCAGTGGGGTTGCTGGAGCTAAAACTGTTTGGCTGAAAAAAATCTGGAGAGGAGCTGTTTTTTTTGGATTTAGAGTTGCGTGGAGCTCTGCCAAATATGTCTTTAATCTCATAGTTGACAAGAAAACTCCATAGTCCACACTTAAAACCCGGAAGACATTTAAAACTAAAGAATTTTTGCAAGAAACAGTATAATTTTGCAACGATCCAATGAAATTTATCCCCTTTGTCCCACAGGGCTAGGCCCCACTGCCCCAGCACCGTCGTACTATTTTGCAAAGAGATGCGCCGCTGACCTCTGCCCTTAAGGCTGTCTTTACCGGCAGACTCATTGTGGAACTTAAACTTCTAATACAATATCTATAGTCTACAACAGAGTACCTATATAGAAGATCTATTTTAGTTATCAGAAGAGATATAACGTAAATCTAAATATCCTCTCTTTTAAAGATCTATTTATAAAAATGGTTATATTTTAGGTCTTATTTTCGAAGAAGACGGAAAATAAATATTGAACTGGTGGGTCTCGTATTTCGAGGGCGATCGGCAGAGACGGTCTAACAGGAAACCGCTTCGTCCTTCGGGTCTCCTTGGGCCCCGCTGACAGCACCAACAAAAACCTGACACCTCTGCGTCCTCACATGCGTCTGCGGAGCAGCGGGTCTGCAGTGCCAGGAGAAGCCTGTTCTGATTTGCCAAGCGGCAAGCCCAGTTGTTTCCACCGGTGCATAACGCAAGCACTCCCCATCGATCGCGTCGCTGCACTTGGATCCACCCCCACCATGGCCCACGAGCACCCGCTGGCGCTGTCACTGCCGCCGCCCGCCAAAGGCAAGGAGGAGGCCTCGCCGTGGGCGACGCCGACGGCGGAGGCCGAGAGAGCGCGCCGCCGCCACATGTCCAGGCTCTACGCCGAGCTGGGTGCGCAGCTCCCCGGCATGCCCCCTCGGGTCCGTCCGTCTACAATTTCTTCCTCTCTCCCCACTTGGTTCATTCTTTTTGGCCATGGTCTCACGGTCTCTCCACGCCGTGCAGGCGAGCATGGCGCGGATCCTGGAGGACGCGATCGCCTACGTGGGGGTGCTGCGGGCCACGGTCGCGGGGCTGGAGGCGCGCGCTGCGTTCGCGAGAGCAGCGCGGACGGCCGCGCCCACCGGCGCCGGCGCCGGCGCGGCCGAGGTGCTCGTGGCCGGGAAGGCGTCGTGCTTCGCCGTCCGCCTGCCGGAAGCGCGGCGCCAGGGCGTGCTGACGCGCGTGCTGGAGGTGTTCCGACGACACGGTGTGCCCGTCCTCGCGGCCACGGTCACCAGCGACGGCGGCGAGGCCGCTGTCACGGTCACCACGGCGCCTGTGCCGCCGAGATTCCTCCAGGGGATTCAACAAGATATCAGAAGCAGCATCGCGTGATTGGTTAACTCTTCTACTTTCTTATACATATACAGGTCTTTTCATCTTATCATCTAGGATGGATGGATGCATATGCATCATCTATCTCCCTTTGTTCAAAAATCAGAACAGATTGCGTGTTTCTTATAGAATTCCTGGGGAAGAAAGCATCCTTAGGTGCAATTTTGGAGGATCCTTGTATCCCAAAAATTTTGGGCTTTGGATTTCTTATAGAATGTTGGAGAAAACAGATTTTGCGAGTATGTTGGTCACCTTGAGTTAGTGTTTTATTAGGAAATGTGAATCACTCGAACAATGATAAGTTTGATAAGATGTTTAGTTTCCGACTTAAGGTGCTATCTGTATATAGGTTGTTCCTGCGATTATTTTGACTGACATTTACAATTACTTGCGTAGGTTGGTATTCAACTTAGGCTATGATGTATTATCTTCAAATTTTGCAGATGGATTGTTACTCTGTATGTTTTTATGGGGACTTTGAGAATCTGAGGAAGACATGCATGGAATTGTTTGATATCCCGCCTGCTTTAGTGACCTTGTATGTATTATAATCGACAAGTTTGGTAGTGAGGTAGCATTGGGAGGATGGATTTGTCATGGAAAGGATAAGGTCGCATTATGTGTTGATGAACTCAGAGGCCAATGGGAAGCGCTCCATAAAGATTGTGAAAGTCACTCATGCGTGTTCTTTGGAGGTGGTGGTAGACAATGGCCACAGGAAGAAGCGCTACGTAGGAGCCACCCGTGATGTGCGAAATGTTCAAAGGGATCAGAAGGGGCCGATGAAGTTGAGCCCATGGATAGCCTAACTCAAGACTCCAACATGTTGGAAGAGAGCAATGCATATCAATTAGTTCTGTCCCCTATTTCCAGCAAGGAGAAAACTCCGAGATTGTTGGCCGAAGTTACAGTAACCCTTTTCACTACCATAAAGAGCATTTTTAGTGGCAGACATTTTTTTATTTTCAGCAGTGAGCACACCGTTGGCCTCTAACCGATTATCATTGTTAATCGCCATTTATAGAGGCAGTCAGCTGTTATGGCATTTACTGAGTCGACTTGTTAAGATGCCCGTCTATGTTTAAACTTAAAAACCAAAAAAATGTGTCTTTGAGGGTTCAAACTGTAGGGACCGTGATGCCTAAGAGAGAGGGGTGAATTAAGTAACTAAAAAACTACTTCTAACTATGGCCTCTAATTTCAACCTAGTAAAAACCTATGCAAGAAATAAACTATCCAGATGTGCTACTAAGGCTTGGCTAGGTGTGTTGCTATGTCTACCACAAAAAAGTTATACAACCTAGGTTCAACTGAGCTAGGAAGGTAAAGCACACAACTAAGTACACAATGTAAATGCGGAAGCTTGATTGAGATAGAGATGCAAACTCCCATCGATGGTATTTTGACCGAGGTATCGAGATGCTCCGCGCTCTCCAGTCCTCATTGACCCCTCCGATGCAGGGGCCAAGCTCTGGTTAGGCAAGGGATATCCCCGAGGCCTCCCCATACTCAAGTGGGTCTCGAGAGTCCCGGACCTTTGGCTGCTGCCACCTTCACTATTCAGCTTCGGCGTAAGGATGCCTCATTCCCTCCTGCATCGAGACACTATGGTCCAATGTTGCACCGCTGGTTCGGTCCGATGCATGCTCTCATGGATATTGTCCGATGCCTGTCCTTCTGCTAGTCCGATGCTTGGTTCGATGCCTTGTATATGCCTCCCTGCTAGGGTTCGGCGGCCTCCGATGCTCTTTAGGGCCCGTTCTGATGCCTAGCCTATGGTCCGATGCCCTTTAGGGTCCGTTCTAATGCCCTGCTGAGCCCTTTTTTAATTTGTTTCTTCGTGATCTTCGTGTTTGGCTTGGTTCTATCTTATGTCTTGGACTTTTGCATGTATTTGTAGATCTTCATCACAGCTCCTAATGCCTTTGATGATCCAGATCACCACTTTGCCTAAGTCCAAGTACACTTTGTATCATTTGAACTATATCCAAAAATACTAGCAAATAACATTAGTCCAGATGGTCTTGTTGATCATCAAACACCAAAATTAAACATAAATAGGCCATAGGATCCATTTTCCTTACACAAACCTAAGACAATTTCAACACACACATAACACTTCTCTATCATTAAACTACACACTTTTGTGACTATAACTAGATAGCTATCAATTTATACCAACATTTCGTAATTTTATATAGAATATTGTGGCTACTAATAAAATAAAATGAAAAAGTTTCAATGACAAAGTTTTAAATCTTGTCAAGTATTAAATATGTGAACATTCAAGGATGTTTAGAAATTAAAAATTTTGAATTTCAAAATTTTTGAACCTAAAACACATATTTGGGACTTTAAATAAAAAACTTTTCCACTACAAAGGTATAGATTATATTGCGAACTACAGCTTTAGTATAGACCATGTCAACAATTGTTTAAAAATTTTACGTTTCAAATTTCAAAATCTATGAATATAAAAAACATTATTTTGGAATCTAAATAGTTGCATACAAAAAAGGAGGTTCTACAAGGTTGTAGTTGTGTCGAAGGTATAAATCATCGAGTTCATGTGAAAAAATATATGAATTATTTTTACACGCAAATATTTATAGAGGTATCTTAAGGAATCTAAGCGGTGTTTCACGTAAACGGACTAGTAAACTTATGGCTTGCGCTTCCAAAGAAGACGATGGTAGCATCCAAAAGACACGGGTACATCAAAGCGTGCATGGCCTTTAGAGATGATCATGGTCTTGCTTGAATGCTCTAAAGTTCTTACAATAGGAGGTGCAAGAATGGTGGAAGAGGTAGAAGAACCTAAGCTAGGCGATGGGCTGCCAAGGGAAGCTTTAGGAGCCCACGATGGAGAATGAGTGAATGAGTAGGGATTCAGAATGTGTATCCATCCCGAGATGGGGCTCCACCCTTATATGGAGTTCGTTCAGGCCGGGACACATCATGAAGGAGGAGGTTTCCTCAAGGGTCATGAGACGAGGGGGGTTAGGTAACTTGCTTGCAAGCTATGTCGCCGATCGCATCCGTGCATCGTCTTGATGGTCTTGTGGACACACAAGGCATGGTCGCATGGTGCTTATTGTGGCTCACAACAACACTATAGGCATGGTGGTGGTTTTAAGTCAAAGTATGACATGTCGTGGTGGATCCCATCCATAGTTGATAACCGGTGAGATCGCCTAGTCGCCTTGAGGAGCCAAAGGCCACAATCTTGATTGTTGGGGTCGTATCCGGTCTGGTGGTTATAAGTCAAGGCCCCATCATGGATCGATCCTATAGTGGGTGAGTGTTGTCTTTCGGGCCGATCTTAGTGGTGTAGGGCTAGCTAGGGCGGTGTTGTCTTATCCGATCTTCGTGGCGCAGGGCTAGCATCTGATCGGACCGAGGGCTCCTTATGGGGTCAGTGAGGTGTGTTTGCCCTTGTCAAAATAGGCATACTTGGTGGGGCTCGACCTCTGCCCATCCCTTCTATGGGTCATAAAGGGGTCAGGTCGTACGCCTTTCGAGCACTATGCGGCTATGGAAGGAGGAAGAGGTCATGGCCGACCTTGGCCTTAGCGTCCGGTCTGGTTTGCTCGGCTCAGCTAGGCCTAAGCCGTTTGGGCCTTCGCCAGCTGGCGTATTGCAGGCCGCGTGACCTGCTAACCAATCGATACCTTGAGACACCCGGGTTTATGACCCCGACACCACCTGAAAATCATTTTTAGAGACGAATGCTTAGAATGGGTTCCTAGCATCTTAAGATGCCTACCACATTATGAATAGGTGCAACTATTCATAGGTCAGCGGATCATTTGGTGTTCTAAGAAAAATTTGACTGTTGGAGCAATGACAAGTGAGCTTGCTTGGGGCTAATTATACCCCCTAACTAGTGTTTTCAAGGTTGTTGGAGACCATAGATGTAACAACCCTAAAAATCCCAGAGCCAAAAATCCCAACTTTTAAAACTTCTTCCCAAAACCTTGCATGGTGAGTGGACATACTAGGAAGACAACCCTAGATGCACTAGGTAAACCTTAATTGGCATGATTGAGCATGTGCATTCATTACCAAATTATGATTTGCCACTTCTTGGCTCTTGTGTTTGGTTGATAACTAATTAATCAACATTATAAATTAAAGTAACTTGTGTGTGTTCTTGAGACCCTAGAGTGGCAAACCTCATAAGGTTAGCCTAGTGGACCCACCCTAGGAGTGTATCCATGTATAGGTTTACTTGTATACAAGTATAGACTTGGGGAGAAACAAATAATAATAGGAAAGTCATTAGAAAATGGAAAAGAGATAGAAGGGGAGAAGAAGCCCACAACCGTAGCCGGCCCAGCCTAGCACCGCTCCCCTGCTACACATGCGACCGTAGCCTAGGTTGCTACAGGTTAGGATGGGCCGAGGTCAGGTTGATTAGACTTCTAGAGCAAAAGAAAACTAAGTGTGTCTCTACTTTGACTTAATAGATAGTCTTTCATTGAAGGATAGATAGTCCATGATCATTCCCGATGGGATATGTTTCTATATGTTCTCTAGTGGGTTCATCGGACAGTCCGATTAGTAACATCGGATAGTTCAACAAAACTAGGTTGGCCGTGTCTAAGTGTATTAGTATGTAGTTGTCCTAGGGTTTTATTAGAACATTGTGAGGAGTTATTGGAGAGTCTGATACTCACTGTTAGATAGTCTAAAGAACTTTGATAGAACATGTGTTCATCTATGTTCTTGGTGTTCTTAGGGGCTATGGTTCACTATGTCTAAGGAGGGTCCCTAGGATGTGTTGAGGACTTCATGGTGTGCTTGTCTAAGGTGTTAGTGTTGTGAATCTAGGGTTGAAACTCATCTAAATCTTTATTCTTGAGGTGCTCTATTCTAGGTGTGGATTTCTAGACCAAGATTAAGAGAGAAGTGGTGAGGAAATCATCTCTTGAGGTATGGAAATCTGAGGTCACCAAGCTCATGCTCATCTTCTTAAACTTCTATGTCACCCATGAGGA